AGAAAATCCTTAGTAATCAAAAATTTCGTAGTCGTGAGATAGTTCTTTTTCACTATAATCGAAAATAGGTGTTAGCCACTCGGTAACGTGGTTAATCAGGCCATCTTACATCTATACACCCTTAAAATGGGACATCATAGTTATAGTATTTCTACACTGTAATTCTTACTAGGTTAGCGTCGGGCCACTTCACTCCCAATGTTTTTCAGAGGAGCTAATAAACATTTATCCTTGTCTCAGATTGACACATTTTTCTTTTCATTGTCGAGAAAAGGTGAAGTTTGCACTAAGCCATGCAAGGCTTCAAACAGCGAAGAATTTCAAACACTACTAATCTTGTAGTTTCCAGGTTTTTTCTATACGCCTTAGCGTGGAAATGTATAGGTTGTTCGTAGGTGTATATGTCGTTGCTAGCCTTGTTTAGGTGATGCGAGGTTGTTTCGACGTTCATTCTCAGCCTCGAGTGGTTTGAGTTGAACAGCAAACGGTCACAGACACGACATTGGTGTCGAAACTCTAGAGACAGAAGCACGTGCTGAAGCCACGTATTGGCAGCCCTCATAGGTCTACAGGCCCTTCGGCGTTGTTGGTGTAGGCCTTTCATCGCTTCGAGGTCTTCTCGTAGCCACCGCTGCCTTTGCCGTTCCCCACTGCTGGGCTAACTGTTGCCTTTTTTCTTTTTGCTCGACAAGTCGGGATTAGTGGGCTTTACTCAAATTCACGTGACTCGTACCCATTTATGGCGATGATAGTTTTTTGATAGGCAAAAACTAATTACGGTTAGCTTTTCGAGAGATCAGTGCTGATTTTTAATAGCTGCGACATATGTTGGATGCTCAGTAAATTTAAGAGAAAACTAGTACAACATGCGGAAAACGTCCACGCGGGAACCGTTTTATACTAATTACAAATCGAAGAACCTAAAAGCAGAAATATATAAGTTGCATCGAACTTACACGCTACTGCGCGTTACTGCACAAAATTACAGCTTTTAAAATTACACAAGAATGACAAGTTGTGTGCAACTGTACATAGTTTAGCACAAGTTGAAGTGAGACATTAAGATGATTCAGAGTCGTCGAGTTTGCCGACTAGAATGCGTTAGCAATTTATACTAGAGTTTAAAATGACTCAAAAGATTAGGTTGTCAGAAAATAGGCGCCTTTGTGCACGACCTGAACTCATATTTGCTCTGCTTTTTTTTTTGGTATGGACGTGGACTGACTTATTGGTCTTCGGTGTGCGAACCATCGTCCAGCTGTTGTCGATTACCATCGCCGTCTCCTTCCTGCACTGCCCTTATGCTGTACGCAACGGCGTGAGCCCAACAATCTTTTCAGATACAGTAAGCGACATATTTGTTTAAGGCTGGCTGATGACAAAGAAAAAAGTACGCACGAAAAAAATATTAATATTGGAGGATACAGTCCCACATCACAAAATGTATGAACACCAGCCGAGTGCCATGACAATGCCACAGTTTTTGTATCCTGGTAGATCACAACTGCGTAAAGTATCTTCATTAATGAGTTCCAAATAATGTCACAATATGACTTTTCTCGGCAGAGAACGTTGTATCGAATATCGAAATCAATCCCTGTGACATCTTCGTGGCGATAAACGCGTAATCGCCCGGGGACCATGGTCGCAGAGCTTTTTGATAGCATGTGTTTTTGCTATTGGCCTACCCCAGGTCTCGCTCCAGGATCGTCAGGTATTTTATTTTGCGCATAATTATAGAACGACTCTTTTTGTGCATGTGGGCGCAGATTTGCATGTGAAGTTTCTTTTCAATAGTTTAACGTGTATGGAATAGTACATATTTCACTAGATAGAACACACAGTAACAGCTCGAGCGAAAAGAAGGGGAGTTGATTGAAGGGATCAATATTGTTCGACGATAGGAGATCGAAAAACGTTTAATCAAGCCAACAAAAGGGTACGGAAAGGTATTTGTAGTTTTCAATTGAGATACAGAAACTACAAAATAAGGTAATATGTTATGCGAGAAACAATTTTCTGGTGCATTGCAACCCTAATAAAAAAGTTTTGATGAGAAAATAGTTAGGAACTGTAAAAATAGACCCGTTATCTCAAATAACACACTACAGTTAAACTGTTCCAGTCAACTGATGACGTAGACTGGTATATCATGAGCAATGAAGGCGACCAACAGCCACATCATCCAACCAAAAAGCGTTGTGATTCTGGACTCATGTACGAAAGCGTGACTTACACAATCGAGTCATTACGTTGCTTTCTTATACTAAATCGAATACCTTAATACGCACAAGGGGCCATTTTTGCACAAACACCTTACTTGTTCTCAAATGAAAACAAAAAATACCAGATCCCACGCACAGTGGGAATCAATTATATGTGAAACACAAATGATGAAGGTCGATATGTCACTTTAAAATCAGCATAACTTTACGAAACAGACGTGAATTATGCCGCACACCACTTCCATGTAATCATTAACATGTTTGCGCCAGGCATTTGTCTTCGTCGTCCATTCACGTCACGTGATATTAAGTTTGGTAGATGTGAAGCAAGTGAAATGGCCGCGAGAGCGCTATGAGTGTAGCATGTAGCCATGTTTTACATAACACGTATGTCATGATTATCATGTTTGCTCCGCCACAGTGGTCTAGTGGCTAAGGTAGTCGGCTGCTGACCCGCAGGTCGTAGGATCGAATCTCGGATGCGGCGGCTGCATTTTCTATGGAGGTGAAAGTACTGTAGGCCCGTGTGTTCAGATTTGGGTGCACGTTAAAAAAATCCAGGTGGTCAAAATTTCAGAAGCCATCCACTACGGCGTCTCTCAAAATCATATCGTCGTTTTGGGACATCAAACCCCACAGATCAATCAATCAATCAATCAATCAATCAATCAATCAATCAATCAATCAATCAATCAATGATTATCGTGTTTGGACGTGTCATTCACCATCGTCGTCCATTCACGTCACGTAATACCGAATTTGGTATATGTGAAGCTTGCGAAACGCCCGCCAGGGCATCATGAGCGTGGTATGTAGTCATGACTTACATGACATGCATGTCGTAATTTCGAGGTTAGGGTCTGTCTCATATGTTCGCCATGCAGTCATGTGATAACATACCGGTTTTGCAATATGTCATGTGAACGAAACCATCTCTAGAGCAGCAAGACCATGAAATGTATTTCATGACATTCATAACATGCATGTCCTGATTGTCATGTTATGAACTTATGACTAGTCAGTTATACTCGTCATACAGTCATGTTATAGCGTACCAATTTTGGTATAGATACCTTTATCGAAACGGCCATGAGAGCTAAAGTCGTAGGCAGCTAGATAGATAGATAGATAGATAGATAGATAGATAGATAGATAGATAGATAGATAGATAGATAGATAGATAGATAGATAGATAGATAGATACGGTCAAACTCACCGAAGTTCACTAAGAAATGTTTTGCATTTAATATCAGCCGCATCTGTTGCCGTCATTATAGAGAGGGTAACTGGACAGAGGTTAATAGCGCCCACAAATGAAAAACTTGGTGAATTCGGTGCAGGATCGACTATGAAAGTGCTGATGTGTCACCGCGGTTGAGTCTCTTGAATATATATGAGCCTGTACAACTGAAAATACTCCGGCCTCTTTCGAGATATTTAGCGAACATGACGAAATGTCTGAAGCTCTTTAGGAATGACCGTCGTCAAAGCATGTGATTCACATGAGTAGCTCTCACACATAGGGTCCACTTGCATTTCTACGCTCTTGTGCCACCAGCGCATCTAGTGGCCATTTTTAATGTAGATTTTATGATTTGACAGGAAGAAAATGATGTTCCCATTTATTCTAGAGGGGTCTAGACGAAGCACGCGCTATATAAGCTTAATTAAGATACACGAATATCCCCGTAACATTGGTAACGAAGGAGTGCATTTGTTACATCCTCAAATAAATCTTTGTTTTATGATATAATGCGCATAATAATAAAATACGAGAGGGAACACAAAAACTACGAACAAAAGGCATGTTAACGGACATGCACGAATCATTTGAGGGGAAGGTAGGAAGGAAAAAAGCTAAGTATTCTACAAGAATGAAAGCAGTAGTAATGAACTTTACGCCGCCGTTGTTCACAACACGAATCAATACTTATATGTTAGCTCTCACGATTACAAGCTTGATGCTGGACTGGTATGTTTCCCAAAGTAGTCGCATGGTCGTATTCTTTCCTAGTTTGCCAAGATATAGGCAGTGTATGAACTCAGCGCGTCTTGTTTTTTTCCGTTGAGCATGCGGCGAACTATAATATCGCGGAATGTGAGCCTTGCAGCTTGGAACGCCATCACGCAGTTTTATGCACCACATATACCTCAGTTTTCTTAAAGGTTCGAACCAAGTTCGGAATAAATATGGCTGTGAAAATTTCTTCAGAAAATGCGATCTTCCACTCAGGCGTGGATGAAAACAAGTTCATATTTGGAACTGGAAATATTTTTGAATCATTCAATGAAAACACGAAGAAAAAAAAGCAATGCAGTCCATTTAGTCGTTCAGTAAGCATATCCTAACTCTTTTGTTGCAACTTTGATTTTGAAACACATGAATGACAAAATAAAATAATGATAAGCTCTTGAAGCACTACAGAAATTTCTCGATGCATTTTTCAAGTGCACATATCCATAATGCGTTCTCAGTGTAGTTTGTAGGTGCTAAAGGTGCGAGCTTTCTTTCAGGTCTCTCACAGGTGGTGGCTGAGTGCTCTGAATTGTTTACTGCAGGTGCATGAGTTTTGAATGTATGAGTGTATGGAATACTTAACTTTTACTAAATAACTTTTTTCGTGCGTTTGCAAGCAAAGTTAAACAGAAACATTTTGAACGAGCATTTTCAACGAACTTGATGTGCTGACAAATGGGAGATATGTAAAACCTTTATGACTGCGGATTTGCCCTTCTGAGCAGGCGTACAAATCAAGTGGTGGCCTTTGCCCATACCTGATGTTCTCGAACAGTCCGTATGCTTGAGGTGCCATGTCTTGTGTTCTACATTGTACAAACATCACCATATGTATTCACCTTAACATCTTTAATTGATACGGTAATGACATGACTCATTTTCTCCACATCTTAAGGAAAATAAGGGCTGCAGTAACTGTACCAGTAGCCATATTACGAGTGCTACGAAGCTATCGTAGAATTTATCTTTCCGGATGCTTTTTAAATTCCATCTGCTGCTCATTGAAATTGAGAGTGCTTTCTAGCCCCATAAGAAACAATAAACGTTAATAAATGACTTCGAACAATACTTACAAGACCTTCCTCTTCTGCATCGCTATAAATGAAACATTTAAGGCCGGCTTGTAAAAACGACATGCTATAACAGAGCTTCGTGGGCGCGCGAGAAGAAAAGCTACGTGCTGGACGACAAGCCCAAGTATGCCGTCTGCAGTGGCGTCATATTTGCATACGTTCTTTGATATCCCACAGAAGGCCCTGCAGTGATAAGACCAGCACTAGGGTACGTTTTGCAAGACCTGGGATATATCTAGATATATATGCAAATATGATACGCCTTCGTAACATAAGACTGCAACATTTTTACCGGGGCACGATAAGATAGAAGCGGCACGTTATAGCACCCCACTTGATTCGTGGCAGAGAGTTAGCAGACGAGCGCCAGAAAAAAACGAAGGCTGGAGAGCAGTTCGCGCGACGAGTATTCCGTTGCTTGAGAGACCGGAGAAGAGACTAAAAGGTAAGCGTTGTATTTAAAAAAAAAAGAAAAAAGTGTGCAGCTGAGGAACGGGGGTCTGATTCCCGAATTTAATTTTTTGCCATTGTACTAATACCCCAATTAATACGGAGCTGTGCAAACAGGAACCCGTTAGAGTAAACAATAAGCGAGAATGAAAGGAAAAAAAAGTAAGGCACAGTCCTTTTTGAAGCTAACCAGTGGAAAGGCGGTGGTTTATTTGCCCCCGCTCCTCGAGGTACGAGCATGCGGCTGAGGGAAGAGGAGAAGAGCGCCCGGGCACCTGTGCGCCGACCGGGCGCTGTTTGCGCGCCCCGCAAACAGCGCCGGCCGGCGGCACACGTGCGAGCAGCGACTCACCGGGGCTGCGGGACCGTGGCGAGAACTTAAGACTCGGGACGGGGCGAGAGGGGGCCGTGGCCTAGCGGCTGGCGCGCACTGACGTCACGCGCGCCGCGGCTGTCGATTGGCGCAAAGTGCAGCGGCGCTGGCGCTCATAAATATGTGGGGCAAGTCGGCGGGGGCCGAGCTCTTTGGAGCGCAAGTCGTGTGTGGAGCGCGCCGCGAGCGGAGTCTTGTGAGCCCGAGCCGAGCGCGCGGCGCAAGTGTGGCCCTGTACGCGGGTGAAGCGGGCGAGGCCGCGGTGGCAGCGTGGCTCGGCGGCGCGCCCCCGGACCCTGCCTGCCTGTACTTCCAGCAGGGCGGCGCGGCGGCGGCCACGCCGTCGCCGTCGGGCTCGTCTTTGAGCTCGTCGCTCGATGAAGACGCCATGGCGGGCGATGAGTACAGCTTCGACCTGGAGAACCTCGAGGAGGTCGTCAAGCAGGAGATGGGCGCCAAGTACGCGGCTCTTCAGCCCGAGCTGCAGCAGCTCGAGCACCTGCGCCGGCCATTGGTCGGCAGTACACCGGGCACACCGCCGGACACTCCACCCGGCTCGACCGCCTGCCCGGCGTCGCCCGAGTTCGGCGCCTGCATGCCGGACGACAGCATGATGTGGTTGTCACAGCCGCCACCACCACCGGCGCCGCATCAGGCGCCGCACCAAGCGCATGTGCGCTTCGGACACCAGGAGCCGCTGGACCTGCGGCCGCAAGGGGACCTCGAGTGGCTGCAGCTGCGCCGCGACCTGGACCCACGGCCCCCGATGCCCCCGCCGATGCCCATGCGGGACATCTTGGACGACGAACAGCTGATCTCGCTGTCTGTGCGCGAACTCAACAAGCGACTCCACGGGTTCCCCCGCGAAGAAGTGGTTCGCCTCAAGCAGAAGCGTCGGACGCTCAAGAACCGCGGCTACGCGCAGAACTGCCGGACCAAGCGCCTGGCGCAGAGGCACGAGCTGGAAAGCAGGAACCGCATCCTTCAGGCCGAGGCCAACCGTTTGCGTCAGGAGCTGGAACGCGCCTGCCAAGAACGCGACTTCTACAAGCAGCAGCTGGGCGCCGCCGCCCGCGCCCGCGCTCAGCAGCCGCAGCCGCCGCCACAGCAGCAGCAGCTGCCGCCGCCACCACACGGACTCGGGCCCGGCTCGCCGGACTTTCTCATGTGACTCGGGCCACCCCACAACGGCGGTCCCGCCAAGTGGCCGCCACGCAACTAAATCAGAGACTGTACGAAAGGCAGCAACAATGCTGCCGACGAACAGTGCACCGTCGCCTGGCCTGATGCCCCAGCCGGCGAGCACTCCAAAAGACTGTACGAAAGGCGGCTCCGTGCCGCTGACGACTACCCCGCTTGCGCTTGCTTTGCTTGTCCCTTGTCTTGCCCGCCGCCGCTCAAAGTTCGAGGAGGTTCGTGTTCTAGAGGCGTGGAGCACGGGCCTCCAGGTGGGCGGTTCCCGGGACGCCGGCCAGTTTGCTATCAACAGGTACGAAAGGCTCCGCATGGCCGTACGCATTTGCCCCTTGATCGCCGAGTCGACAGTCATGCGTGCCAAGTCGTGGGCAGGAGACGCCGCACCGGCGCCGGGTTGTGGCCCGGGTCGCTGCGCTGTCTCCTACCCGCTATCACGCCGTTGCCCTGGCGCCAAAGCCAGCCGCTCCGCGGATACACGCTGCGCAAGTCTCGGCGCGCAATGTTACGCCGCACTCACGCGTCCTACCATTTGTGTTCACAGCACACGCTCCTCTTTTCGACACACGCAGTGATATAAAGGATATTTGGTCTTCTTTATCATTTCTTCTTAAATTTGCTTAGAGCAAACGCTAGTCGTGGTCGAAGCGTGATTGTGGCGCTGCCATTGTAACAATGCTGGTTTACATATATCTCCTGGCATACACGATTTGAGTGTGGCGCAGCTGTTTGCTCATGCTGAAGTAAGAGGGGCAGTGTAATTATATCGACTAGTACGTGTACTCCTCCCTTTTGTCTGCGGTGGGATAACGAAAGAGAAATGAAGAAGTATGTATTCAAGTGTGTTGCTTGCGTACGTGATGGCTATAACAAGGAAGGGTTGTATTGCGCGTGTTTGCTAAAGATCTCTTTCGAAGTACATGTTTACAGCTCAGTAGCCATGTATACTGGATACAATACGGCTCTCATTCCTAACTTGAGTTGTTAAATTTGTGTGCTTTCATTCGTCCTCCTCACCACTAAACAAGGAACATTCATGCATATACATGATACCAGTTTCGACCACGACAAGGGAACACCTAATATGGTATTACTTTTGTACAAGTAACATTCTGCATTGCTGATGCGCCTCTTCTTTGACAGCAAGAGAACAAGGCAGGCTGAATTAGTCCAGAGCATGTTTCCGAACACTGTCATATCCGAATAAGCACTGCAGTGGCGTACTCACGAGTGGAATAGCACGATATTGTGACATGCATTTTGACTGTATATGTGAAAATTCCAGTGCACTTGAAGTGTTAAAGTCCTCCTTTAACATGATAAACTGTCCCCGACAGTATAACTGGCCAGCACCCTCGGTGACCATTGTCATTAGACTGCAGCCTGGACACCAGTGCTTTGGCGTTGTTAGGCGAAGTCCTCAATAAGCTTGAGAAAAGTCTTGTTGCTCCATGTGCGCTAATGTTATGGAGCATTAACATGCGCTAATGTTATCAAAGCTCTCGATACCCTCTTTGGAACCTTGATGCCGTCTGCACTAATATACTTTTATGCCTATACTCAGAGCTAAATAATCAATTGTTGGCCCGCTTAGTGGTCTTGTGAGCCCTGTTGCAACGTTCGACTACAACTGGTGCGTTTCTAATGGGCATTCAGCGTGTGCCAACATGGCAGATTCACTTTATAAAAGTGAAATATAGTTCCTGGAATTAATGTGGCAACTGGCCTTAGCAACTTGAGCCTTAACCATTCAAGCTTGTGCAATAACACAATTTTGGAAACACCTAGCTTTGGGAATGAGCCATGACACAGTCCTTAACCGACACTGAAGAACAGGTATACAAGCCCCGCTACAGAGAACCAAGGCAAAACAAATGTTGTGTCGAAAAGAATGTTACTTAGTTCTTCATTTAGTGCGAACTATACAGCCGACGAGTGCTGAATCTGTAGGTACGTCGTTGCTTAGGTTTTATTAATATATCCACAAGTATTCCGGCAATGATTTTTGCATTATCTCATGAAATCATGGGGGCAGTTCCGCTATTTCAGCGTATTAGACATGAACGAATAAGACAAATATCTCTGTTCGCGATGCGAAGATGGTTTTTGTAGTCAAGTAGTGAAGAGCGATGTGCAATGTTTAAAGAAAGGAGACTACTTTATTTTTCCGCTTTTATATTTATGTGAAATCAAAGCAATTGGGTTGGGGCGTGGTACCCGCTTCGAGCTCATTAGTAGTTTTTGATGCGAAAAGGGGGTGACAACGCACGCTGTTTTCTACTGTGATAAGTAAAATTGTATATTAATATGTGTGTGCAAAGAAAAAGAAACGCATTATTTGTTTTTATTTCAAGTTGTTTTATGTCCGAGAAATTTTCACGCTGTTATATGAACATATGCATGTATGTAATTGTATAAAACCCACACGCATATACAAACTTGTGTAAATATTACCTATGTACACGCTGCCAATGTGTTTCACTGAAGAAGCAGGAGTGCATGAGGTTTCGTTCATCATGAATTCGAGGTTTACTCTTTTGATATCAGCATAATATGTGTACCACCAGAGCGCTTCTAAAAGCCCCCCTGCTTCACCAGTGAGGATATCACATGATCAATGCTTCCCCTCATAAAAATTAATATGATATTAATCCTGATATTATACTGTCTTCTCCTTCACTAAGATTTAGGTCAGCCCGTTTCGGGCATCTTGTACGCGTTTCAGTTCGTTTCTAAATGCCTGTACATACCTCCTCGCCCAGGTGGTGCGTTCCAAGAGAGTGGAGAAACATTAAATCTTGTCAGCTTTTCGTGAAACATGTGCGTGTACGCTGTAATCAGGACATTTACGTTAGTGGCACTGCTTTTCAGGAGCCGAGTGTCACTGTGTAAAAAATAAAATCAAGCAATAAAAGGAAACATGAATGCCAAAATGCTTTTCTTCTCTTTTCTCGGCTAAACGACGCTGCCACACTGCATCAATTGCAGAGAGAGACCTCTCACGTCATGGCATGCTCTTCATCACGACATCGTTTTCAAGACGCCAGAACACTCTGCGCGCACTATAGCCATTCTCACTGCTTTACGCCACACTGGTTCTATTGGCAGAGCTTCCGGTAGGTGTGTCAGGTAACTGTGTATTTGCGATTGTTCTTGGTCATTTCCTAAAACGTGGAGGAAATTATCCAGTCAGAACATCTCGGAATTTGCGAAGACTGGTAAAGGGTATCAAATATTCTACCTTACAGAGTGAAATTGCAAATGTTTTAGAGCTCGATAAGCTTTATAATGAAACACTTTTACACTCTGTGGCGCATGGACAACTCTTGACGCTCCGGAAACTAAATTTACAGTCTTTGTGGTGTGTACGACACTATACAAAGACGTTTGCTGGCCCGTTCCTAAAGAAACACGCAAAATTAAGAAAAGGGTTGGTTTATTTTGCCATACAGTGTTTTGGTTTATACTCTACGTATGAAGGATGTGCATGGCAAGCTCACAAAAATACGTGGGGCTTTGTTAAGAAAACCATATTTATCACAATCATTCCTTCTTTGTCAGCAGCTACTTTCCTTCACGGGCAATGTTTGAACAACCTCAATTACACAAAGACACATGACGACAAAGACAAGTTCGTTCATGACTGCAAAGGGGGCTGGGGGTGGAGCGAATTCAAGTATGTGAAAAAGATTGGTACGTGACCATCATGTGTCTAACTTTACGACAACTCTGCATCCTATTTAACGACTTCACCATCCATACTATGACGGTGAGGCGATAAGGTGTAAAGGCAGTACGGAGATCTGAACTTATTGTCGGTCGACGCAGTTTTGGTCTTCTGCACCGTGCTTTTGTGAGTGAGGTCGCGTACACAATATCGAATGCGTATCATAGGGATAAACCTGCTTAAATGATTTCCTATGCATTTTTTTTCGAAGTCACGATGCCGCAACAATTTAAATAGTACAATGCTTCGCGAAAAATTGTTCATCAGGTCATTATAACTGAGAAACATGCCGTATCATTGGGTCCTGACCCTAAGGTAAGTTTAACCGACAAAAGGGTCTATTTATAAACATGAAAATATTTCAAGATGGTTGAGAGTTGGCCGAGTTGGGCCATGATTAAAAAAGTATTAGCGAGCAGCACAACACACTCTCAAGAGTAAGGTAGAATAAGGCTGGAGCCTCAACTCTTTGTACTCTTGCTTGTGTACGTGTGCTTGCTGCTGGTTTACAACACTAATTCTCAAGAGAAATAATTACCTGAAAAGAAAGAATAAAAAAGTGCCATTACCTCGTTTGTCAAAACATGAGCTGTATTGGTAAATATAATCATAGTTGAAAAGGTATTCCTCGGAACTCGGCTTCGTTTGAAATTTATTCCACTCAACGTCGAATACAATCAAGGTTGAGGTAACCATTATACGACTCACAAAATGTCTAGCTGTAGCCAGTGTTACCTTAGCCCTAATAATAATTGTGGGAGTTTAACGTCGCGAAATGACCTTAGTCCTATGAATCTTTGTGAAGTTAACGTTGAGTTGACGTTGAATTTGACTTTTCTTAAATGTCATGACGCTGTCCACTGCCGATCACGCCAGTCGTTTTTGATAAATTTGTTCCAAGCTCACAAGTGGCCCCACTTAAGAAACAAGGGCGTTTATTAGGGGCCACATATGAATGCTCTGGTGGAACAGAACTCCCGTTCACTTTGTGAGCGAAATTTATTTCATGGTGGTGTACTTTTGACAGCTACTTGAATACAATAACGAGCCACGTCCAGCGCATTTGGCTAGAGACACTGAGCTGAACCGTTGTGGTATAGTGAGTGAAAGCGGGGGTGGTTATGACGCACTGTTGTTGCATTTAATCCCGTAGTAATCACCGAAAACAGCTCTAGTAGTGATAAAAGCGCAATTTACTTTGCTTCCCGATTATCGAGTGTGATTGATTAAGCAGCGCACGCTCTTGGCGTTGGTAAATAGAAAAACCTTATAGACTCTAAGACTAAAGTGGTGGAACCTCCAACATTTGATGGACACAAAATCACCTATACGTTTTGACAAAAAACAAACAAACAAGAAAATCCCAGATATTTTTTTGGCCAGTCATAAGTACCGAGACTTCTTTCAACCATAGATATTCTTATGCTATGAAAAATTCACGAAGGTAAAAACCCTGTTCAGTTATTTACCAGGTGTGTTATTTTATTGTGGATAGGAAAGAAGGAAAAAAATAGAAGGAAAGACAAATAGGTTAGCCAGTTGTTAGATGGAATTGCTTCTGTATGCTGGGGAAAGGAACTAAAGAGAACAAAATACAATAGAAATGATAAGTTCAAGCAAAAAAATGAAGTAAATGAAAGAAAGAGGACCTGGCACTGTTTAAAGCCTCTCGCTAAGTCCAGTTGCCCGTAGGGAGCGCAAAACGTTTTAAAAGCTTTCTCCGCTGGGAATAGTCACGGCTGGTGTCCCAGGTATCTTTCCTTCGACAAAGGGTGGGTATTCACATGAAACCAACGGCCTCCGCATAGAAACCCCTGAACGCGTATGATGTCTCGTTTAACAATAATCTCGTAACAAGCATCATTCGGAAACTTTGCTGGATGGTTGGAAAAATGTTAACTCTTATTCAGGAATATTTGTTCTAGATAATTTTCCACGACGCGAGCAGTTAAATGCGCATATGCATGGCGGCGACATTTCATTGAGCGATGTAATTACGAAGCGGGGTTTTGAAGGGGTGCGCTATAAGACGCACTGTAATTACTTAGCGACCTTCAGGGGGTTTAATGCAAACAAAACACCCTTTTGCCTAAGCAAAATTTGAGAAAAAGGAATTACGGGGATTTTCCTTTAAAAATGTAGCTTCTAAAGGGTGACGTTTCAGCTAGGACACTCTTCTCTGATTAAAAGCGTTTTGGGTTTTAAGGGCATTCAGTCGTCAACACTCAGCGTGCAAGGTGGTAACTGGGACTGATTGATTAAAACTTTTTTACATTATTGGTGAGTTTAGTTAAAGATATCCCTATTTTAAGGTTATCTTAAAGCATACCATAAATTTATGCCTATTTTCTTATTGTTTGTGTGCGTTTACACGGAACTGGAATATCCCCATCAGCGCTAAAAGGTGACTTAGGATACTATGGCTGTATATACCAGGTGGATGATCGCTTCAAGGCAGTAGCAAGAGAGCTCCGTGCATTAAGTATTTTACGATATGCTCTGTTGTGTGTACAGTTTGCACCTTCTATGCTGATCTGTCAATTTCAACGTTATTTTTTTTTTGTGATAAGGGTGGTAGGTGACGGAAAGCACCCCATAATAAAGGGGCTAGGTCAGTGGCAACCCCCATTTGTATGAGTGTTTTGATGCGTGAAAACACCCTTTTTCTGAGGTGTAAGGGCGATAGTTGCGAACACAACAAAACCCCCTTAAGGGTGTAAACCGGTTTACTGTGCGGGACGCAGCAAGAAACACAGAGGGCCAGTAAGGAACTAGCCCAACTTAGCCTTTTGATGACACTGACGTAAACTGACCTGAATGAGTAGTGATAAGAGAAGTCTGTTGAAAAGCCTATTACTAGCAGTGAGGTTAAATTAGGTTTCATCAAATTCCTGTCTACCGATTCGTACACTTCCTTTGATGAAGCATCGCGTTACTAAATGAAGGACGAGAAAAGAAGTGCACAGGACAAGTGCTCAACTCGCAACTGAAGTTTGTTGAAAGAAACCGTTATAATATATACGCATGATCGTAACACTTGATAGGTGACAGGAAGAAAAATAGGCACAAGAACCATCTAATTCAACCTTTATTCATACCCATATAGGTGGTTTCTTTGTCACACACTGTCACAGAGGTTTGGTTAACACGATCTTTACCCTGTCTTGCGATATCAAATGCTTCAATCGCCTGCGAGACCATAATCTCACAAAAGTGCTAAGGTGATGTCGTGTGACGCTGTTGTAATTTGCCTGTGATGCTACATGAGCCAAATATATGTTGATATAATGCTGAAGCAAGAAGTAAGTTTAACATCTGACAGGCTTTGAGACTTTACGGCGCTCAATTACAAGTGACAATAATAATCTCGTTCCCCGACTTTATATTGACTTTGTCATGTTTCACCAATTTACACTAATTAATGAATGAAAATGAAACAAACGAAAAGAATAAACAAAATTTACAAAGCACTAATATGAGCCTGAATTCGCAAAACTTTTTATTGTGGGTTTTCTTAGCCATTGGTGGGCTGCCTGTCGCCTGTGTGTCCTGAGTCAAGATCGGTCAAACTTTCCTCTCACGAAAAATATAGGCCTAGAGTCGTTGTTGCGAATACGGGACGTGGTGCCTCATATGTAGTCCTGGCAGTCGTCAATAGTGCTTTCGATAATAAAAGAAAGTCGAGGGCCGTTGGGTATAGGCACATTATTAGTTCCTTAAAATCGTAATTAAAATATGGTGGTGCGAAATAGAGTTTAGTTTCGAGGTATGTTTATGAGCAACTGCATGCAAACAAATTATTTCGAATATTAGCTTATGCTATAAACATGGCACCAAAATGTTGTGCAAATGAAATTTAGCATTTACTATGAATACATCGCCTTTTAAAAAGCCTTCCAACAAATACATTCACAAAAGCTCATTGCCCCGTGGTTACGTGCAACTTTTTCACTCCTATTCGACGTAATTAGCGACTATAACGTTTAGAGACAATTAGTGGGGAACATCAGACTTTCGTTATGGGGCATCGTGATAATCATCGATCACATGAAATTGCTCGTGCAAGTGTGCAAATATATTTTCTTAATGCAATGATCGTTTTTTGTAACATATCTTACATGACAACTTTTGTCCCTTCCGGATTTTTTAACGACTAGATTCCTCTTCACATAGGCCAGCCTAGCCGGGGTTTTCACGACGTCAGCC